AATCAGTAAAATAAATTTACGCATTCATTAATTTTTTTGAGTCACCCTGTATATGCAAATCCAAAAAATATGAATGGAGTGATAGATCACAAGTACAGACTCATCATATTTTGTACATTTTAGATATGATTTATTCGGCAAACTTTCGAGCTGACGTCATCAATTTTTTGGAGGGGATAAGCAAATGTATTTTGACTAAACATTTATTATGCTCTTTATAACCTTAAAACATCTGCAAGATTTCAAAGCATTCGGTTTTGCAGTTCATGATTAAATCGAAAAAATAAATTTACGCATTCATTAATTTTTTTGAGTCACCCTGTATATGCAAATCCAAAAAATATGAATGGAGTGATAAATTACAAGTACAGACTCATCATATTTTGTACAGTTTAGATAAGATTTATTCGGCAAACTTTCGAGCTGACGTCATCAAGTTTTTGGAGGGGATAAGCAAATATATTTTGACTAAACATTTATTATGCTCTTTATGACCTTAAAACATCTGCAAGATTTCAGAGCATTCGGTTTTGTAGTTCCTGATTAAATCAATAAAATATATTTACGCATTCATTAATTTTTTTGAGTCACCCTGTATATGCAAATCCAAAAAATATGAATGGAGTGATAGATCACAAGTACAGACTCATCATATTTTGTACATTTTAGATATGATTTATTCCACAAACTTTTGAGCTGACGTCATCAAGTTTTTGGAGGGGGTAAGCAAATATTTTTTGACTAAAGATTTATGATGCTCTTTATAGCCTTAAAACATCTGCAACATTTCAAAGCATTCTGGTTAGCAGATTAAAAATTAAATTTCAAAATGTTGTTTTATAATTTTGATTTTTTTTCCAAAAATCTGGACGTTTCGGGTGAAAAGTCGATTCGGAGTTGTAAACTACATGTGTAGGACTATGTTATTTTATACAATTGAAAACCCATTTACTATGTACAATTTTGAAGTGACGTCATCGCATTAGTGGTGGGGATGATTAGACAAATTTTGGTTAGCGTTTTACCATCTACATGATATTCTTAATATAAGTACAAAATTTCACAACAATCGGTCGAGTACTTTCGGAGATTATCTGTCTAATAAAAATCCGGGACAACAGACGGACAGACGGACGGACAGACGGACAGACGGACGGACAGACGGACAGACGGACAGACGGACGGACAGACGGACAGACGGACGGACAGACGGACAGACGGACAGACAGACGGAAATGGGAGACCTATTTCTTCGTCTTCTAGGGGTCATGAAAGATCGAGAAAACGTAAAAGTAGAGAGTCGGCCGACGGACTCGATTACAATACTTCCTTTGCTTACGCTCGGGAAGTAAAAAAGTACCATTTTAAACGTGTTTTAAGTTTCCAAGAATAAAAAAATCATCACCATTGAGATGGGGTGGGTGGGCGAGGTAATATTTTGCCTTTTTTTCTTAGTGTACATAGTATTCTTTGAACAACACGATGCTCAAAAATATGTTTTTAATTCTTTGTAAAGAAATAAGTATTTTGCAGTTAACCTTAAGTTAAGCTTGGTTAACGGCGAATAAAAAAATCATCACAATTGAGATAGGGCGGGTGGGCGGGCTTATATTTTGACTTTTCGTTTTAATATGTGTAGACTTCTTTTCACAAATGAAACTTAAAATATATTTAAAATGGAAAATTTGTATAAGGAAATATCTATTTTGCATTTAGGCTCCGCCCCATAAATGCAAAATCCATATTTCTTTCCAAAAATGCACCATTTTAAGCATGTTTTAAATTTCTTATTGTGAAAAGATGGCAATGTATATTAAGAAAAAAAAAAAAAAAACAGCAGCATGGTTTTGTGCATAAAAAATCGACCATTACAAATTTAGCTGTATTTTCCCAATATATACCTGTATCGGAAGTAATTGACGGTAATCGAGAATGTGAAATTTACTATTTTGAACAAGTTTTAAGTTTTTTGTTGTGAAAAGAAGACTACGATGTTAAGAAAATCAAGGCAAAATGGAATTAGCTTAACTGCAAAATACTTACTTCTCTATAAGAAATTAAAAATATGTTTTGGAGTATAGTTATGTTCAAAGAATAGTAAAAATTCGTAAAAAAGGCAAAATATTAAACCCCGCCCACCACCCCATCTCTATTGTGATGACTTTTTTTATTCTTAGAAACTTAAAACACGTTTAAAATGGTAAATTTTTGTAAAGAAATATGGATTTTGCAGTTAGGCTCTTCCCCTAGGTCTGCGCCAACGAATGAAAACTTTATTTCTATTTGAGCAGGTATGGGTGGGGCTTAATCTTCGGCTTTAATTTTTTTTTTTTTTTTAATATACATAATATTCTTTTAATAACATGATCTTCAAAAACATGTCTTACATGGTAATTTCTTGTAGAGAAAAATAAGGATTTTGCAATTAAATTCCGGTCCTTTGGCTCTCGACGATTAAAAAAAATCATCAGAATTGAGATAGGGCGGGTGGGCGGGGCTTATATTTAGACTTTTTTCCTAATATACGTATAGTCGTCTTTTCAGGACAAGAAACTTAAAACATGATTCAAATGGTAAATTCTTGTAGATAAATATGTATCTTGCAATCAAGCCCCTCCCCTCGATCTGACAACGAATGAAAAATTCATCACAATTGAGACAGGGCGGGGCTGCATTTTACCTTTTTCTCTTAATATGTGTACACTTATTCGACTTGAAACATATTTAATATAAAATAGTAAAATTTTATTTTGTAATTTTTTTTGCTAATCATTAATTTTTTGGTAGAGACTAATATATCAAAATGAGATAAGATGGTTTTGATTCAATCAATAAGATTAATCGCTCCATTCATTTTTTGTTTTTATCATTTTTTTAAATAAACAATTCTAAAAGAACGAATTTCAAGTGAAATTTACTCAACAAATCCTTAGCATGATTTCATCAAGTTCTCCAAAGCGATATATAGATTAATCTGATACCGATTTATTATGTTTACAATTTCAGAAAAATCGGTAGTGTAGTTTTTAAAAGTTTAATTGTAAAATTTTGTTGATTTTTACTTCCCGAGGGTAAGCGACTCTCTACTTTTACGTTTTCAGGATTTAATCTTGATCTTCCTAGGAAATTTTTTGGATACAATACTATTATTTTTCAATTTCATTTTACACTAAATAAAATAAGTAAGTGAAATGGAGAAAGAAGATGGGCGGGGCTAAATTAATTTTTTTCTAGTTTTATGAGCAAGTAGTAGCCCCGCCCGCCCACCCCTTCTTCGCTCCAGTGATTACTCTTAATATTGTTCGGTTCTAGCTTAGCAAATTTTAGCCCCGCCCACCCACCTTTTTTTTTTCTTACAAGATATGTCATTTACCAAATCAATCTTATCTTAATAAGTTATAACCCCTCCCACCCGCCCTCTGTTTTCTTAGAGATTATGTCGTTTGCCACAATTCACTCAAATGGAGGCGGGGGGTTGGGCGGGGTGAATTATATGGACTTTTCTAAAGTGAGAATGGTAGCTATAATATAACGTAGGCTACTAAAAACAACAGAATCGTATTTTTTTTTTTTGTTGTACTACTTATTTGCTATAACATTAAAAAAATGAGAGAACGGGTTGGTGGGCGGGGCTAAAAATTGTGAGGTGACGTCATCAAATTTTTGATGTTGAGCATTAGACGAATTTTGGTTAGCGTTTTATCATTTATTCGGTATTCTTAAAATATATCTAAAATTCTACAGCAATCGTTCTAGTAATTCGCAAATTATCTGCCCAATAAAACTGTCAACAGAGAGACAAAAACTGGGACCTACTTTCTCATACTCTAGAAGATATGAAATGTCAAGGAAACATTTTAAAATAGGCATTATGGAATTTTCAATAGAATAATGTGGATTTGGCTGCATTTCAAATTATGTATAGGAAAATCTAAATTTTGTCTAGCACGAAAGCCTAAATTTTTACAGGAGCTACAAATTTTTATTTTATTGTTTCAATTTGGAGCAGTCGCCAATACAGTTTTAGAACTACTATAAAAGTGTCACAAAATGAAATAATTAGGACGGCGACTCACTTTGTTTTTGTTTTTTTTTTTACTTGTCTGCGTTTAATTTTATTTCTACTTTGGGATTTTCTGAAATTCACGGGATTGTCTGAACTAAATTAACTAAACAAACATTTTTTTTTGTGATGAACTGATTTCTAGTATGCGAGAAATTATTCCAGAACCGTCCCGAACATCATTAAACAATTTCGTTACAAACACTAATTTTCAAGTCAAAACTTTGAGATTGTGATTATGAATCTCTTCATTAATTTAAAGACACAACACACCTATAAAAAGTCGAATCATAATCACAAGATAGACTGTAGTTCAAGGTTTATGCGTGATTATACCGCATTTACAGATGTATGGGATACTGAATCTAATTTTAAATTTCAGAATAAAAATTTCTGGGATCATTGGTTTTCGGATTGGCGGCAATATGAAAGTAATTCCACTTGAATAAGAAACGATAATGGAACTAGTTTACATTTTTGTCGCTAAAATGTAGCACAAACACAAGTTAATCGTAGATATTTATTCTTTCTCAAGCGATAACCTATTTATTTTGAGGGCGTTTCGCCGGCTGTCTTACCCAGATTTATTATTTTTTATCTACTCCATTGATTAATTTATAAATCATGGAAAAAGCGTTTCGCTCGGTTTATGCTTATCTCAATGAGTAAATCTTCCAAACAAGCCAAAAATCGGCACTTTTAATTTTATTACCGACATCTGCCACGGCCGTGTCCGTTTATCAGAAGTACCCTTGATCTCCGTTCCTCATAACTCGTCGGCATTCTTTCGAAAAATCAATTAAAAATAACCCAACCACGTGCGATTTAAATAAAAAATCGAGTCATTCAGCGACTCCAGACACCGAAAAGTGTTCGCCAAACGTCGCCGATGAGCAAAATCGTCTAGCTTGCAAAAATCGTGCCAAAAACTATTTCAGTCGTTACAAGGTTAGCTTCAAGTAGGCATTAAAGTTTTCGCGATAATGGTTATCACCGAAACATATAATCCATAAATACGCATTGTATTAGCTTTTATCACTGGTGATAATAGCAGTCACTGATTACGAGAATTCGCATTTTAATTTTGTTAATTAAGTGAAGTGACATCATGCGAAGAGGAAATTTTGATGGTTGAAGAGTCAGAGGTGATAATCGAGTGGAGTTTGATTAAATTGATATTCGACACAGGGTAAGCAAGCGTGTTTCGTGTACATTGAACAGGTTTAAGTTGCGGAAATTCGCTGATGAGAATGAGAGTGGTTTGGTTGTTGGAAATTCGTGCTACAGGTAACGGTTGTGTCGAAATGGGTGAATCTTCAGCCCACGCAGTTTTATCCAGGCTTTGGTAACCTTTGACATTTGGTCGTTCCTATCTCTTCCATTTGTTCTTATCCATTGTTTTTGTTTTCTAGTCATCTGGTGCGATTTCTCTCTATGGGAGAATTCGCGGCGGGGTTGTCAAAGACCTACCGATTTCTGAATAATACTAATAATATTTATTGATTTCAACAGGAAGAAACCCCAAATACAGAAACCAAATATTTGACATTTTCGAAACTTAACTAAATACATTTTCTTGTAGATTTCAACCTCTAGAACTCACTTTTGGCCTCGTTTCTTCGATAATTCCAACCGTTTTTCCAGAATCGCCAGTTGAAATATCGAAATTTTTAGAAATTTTCAAACATTCGGATTTGTACCGATTCTTTCGAAAATGTTGCCCCGTGACCATCAACACACTATATTTTAAGAATCAGCATGTCGAGATCTGCGTTCTTGAATTTTTTCAGAATTTTTAGACAACTTTTATAAAAGTGAAATTTTTTCTTCTTCAAATTTCGGCCAAATTTTGACATTTTCGAAACTTAACTAAATACATTTTCTTGTGGGTTTTTAGAAATTAGAAATTTTTAGAAATCTTTGAAAATTCGCATTTCGTTTCGGGTCTTTCGAAAATGTTGCTCCGTGACCATCAACACGGTATATTTTTGGAATCAGCATGTCGAGATCTACGTTCCTGAATTTTTTTCAGAATTTTTAGACGACTTTTTTAAAAGTGAAATTTTTCCCTTCAAATTTCGGCCAATTTTTAACATTTTCGATTTTTCAATTTTTGATTTCTCGATTTATCGAATTCAGATGTTTCGATATTTTAACGTTGATAAATTTTCAGTTTTCTGATTTCTCACTCCTCGACTCCAAGTTTCCATTTTACAGTTCTTCAATTCTTCGATTTTTCGACTTTGCTTTTTTGGTTTTTCGATTTCTCAATTTTCCAGTTTTCTAATTTCGCAATTTATGGATATTTCTTTCAATTTTTGTTATTTTTCAATATTTCGTTTCTTCGATTTTTTGATTTCTCGATCTTTTGATTTTTAGATTTCTCGATATCTTTGTTTTTTAGATTTGTCGGTTTTTCGATTTTTTACTTTTCTGCTTTTCGATTTTTCGCTGTTTCGATTTTTGAATTATTTTTCATTTTTTCATTTTTTTTTTTTAATTTTCGAATTTCGATATCTCGATTTGTCGATTTTTTGGTTTTTCGATTTTGAAATTTTCGATTTTCGAATTTTTATTTTTTTGATGTTTCGATTTCTCCATTTTCAATTTTATAATAATTTAATTTTTTAATGTTTTAAATTTTAGACTTTTTGATTTTTCGATTTTTTATTTTTCCAATATTTTTTGATTTTTCAAATTTTGACGTTTCTGAATTTTTAGTTTTCCGATTTCCCAATGAATCTATTTTCCGGAAATATTGCTCAGTTATCATCAACTATATATTTTTGAAATCAGCATGTCGAGATCTACGTCCCTGAATTTTTTCAGAATTTTTAGACAACTTTTGTAAAAGTGAAATTTTTCCAATGGTCTTCTTCAAATTTCGGCCAAATTTTGACATTTTCGAAACTTAACTAAATACATTTCCTTATAGTTTTCGAACTCTAGAACCCATTTTCGGTCTCGATTTTTTGATAACTGCAACCGTTTTTCCAGAATCGACCCTCGAATTAACGAAATTTTAGAAAATTTCAAAAATTCGCATTTTATGCCGATTTTTTGGAAAATGTTGCTTCATGACCGTTAACACGCTATATTTTAAGAATCAGCATGTCGAGATCTACGTGTTTGAATTTTTTTAGAATTTTTAGACAACTTTTTTAAAAGTGAAATTTTTCCAATGTTCCCCCCTTCAAATTTCGGCCAATTTTTGACATTTTCGAAACTTAACTAAATACACTTTCTTGTAGTTTTCCAACTGTGGAACTCATTTTCGGCCTCGATTCTTTGATGACTGCAACCATTTTTCCAGAATCGACGGTCGAAATACCAAAATTTTAGAAATTTTCAGACATTCGCATTTCGTACCGATTCTTTCGAACATCTTGCTCTGTGGCTATCAACACCCTATATTTTTGGAATCAGCATGCCGAGATCTACGTCTCGGATTTTTTTCAGAATTTTTAGACGACTTTTTTAAAAATGAAATTTTTCCAATGGTCCCCCCTGCTTCGAATTTCGGATAATTTTTGACATTTTCGAAACTTTACTAAATACATTTTCTTGTAGATTTCGAACTCTAGAACTCATTTTCGGCCTTGTTTCTTTGATAAATGTAACCGTTTTTCCAGAAGCGTCCGTTGAAATATCGAAATTTTTAGAAATTTTCAAAAATTCACATTTTATACCGATTCTTTCGAAAATGTTACTTCGTGACCATCAACACTCTATATTTTTGGAATCAGCATGCCTAGATCTACGTCTCTGTTTTTTTCAGAATTTTTAGACACCTTTTTTAAAGGTGAAATTTTTCCAATGGTCTTCAAATTTCAGCCAATTTTTGACATTTTCGAAACTTTACTAAATACATTTTCTTGTCGATATCCAACTCTAGAACTCATTTTCGGCCTCGTTTCTTTGATAAATGCAACCGTTTGTCCAGAATCGACGGTCGAAATATCGAAATTTTAGAAGATTTCAAAAATTCGCATTTCATGCCGATTTTTTTCGAAAATATTACTCCGTGCCCATTAACATGCTATATTTTTGGAATCAGCATGTCGAGATCTACGTTTTTGAATTTTTTTAGAACTTTTTGACGATTTTTTTAAAAGTGAAATTTTTCCAATTACTCTGTTTCATTCTCTCAACTATCACCCTCTCTCGCATTCTCCCATTTATCACCCTCTCTCTCATTCTCTTATTTATCACCCTCTCTCTCATTCTCTCATTTATCACCCTCTCTCTCATTCTCCCATTTATCGCTCTCTCATTCTCCCATTTATCACCCTCTCCCTCATTCTCCCATTTATCACTCTCTCTCATTCTCTCATTTATCACCCTCTCTTCATTTTCCCATTTATCACTCTCTCTCATTCTCCCAATTATCATCATTTCTCTCATTCTCTCATTTATCACCCTTTCTCTCATTCTCCCATTTATCACTCATTCTCCCAATTATCATCCTCTCTCATTCTCTCATTTATCACTCTCTCCCTCATTCTCCCATTTATCACCCTCTCCCTCATTCTCCCATTTATCACTCTCTCTCATTCTCCCAATTCTTTGAGTACCTTTCACATAAAAAAAGAGTCCCTGAGATTCTTTTACATTAAAAAAACGAGGACCCCCGAGATTCTTTCATATAAAAAACAAGATAGTAGGGGTCCTTGAGATTCTTTTATATTAAAAAAAGGACACAAGAGGCCCCTGATATTTTCACATTAAAAAAACGAGGACCCCCGAGATTCTTTCACAGTCTTGAAATAAAGACACAAGGGATCCTCAAGATTCTTTCATATAAAAAACAAGATAGTAGGGGTCCTTGAGATTCTTTTATATTAAAAAAAGGACACAAGAGACCCCTGATATTTTCACATTTAAAAAAAGGACTCCTAGATTCTTTCACATTCTTAAAAAAAGGACACAAGGGATCCCTGAGATTCTTTAACATTTAACAGAAGATACAAGGGGTCTTTGAGTACCTTTCACATAAAAAAAAAACGATACAGGGGACTCCTGAGATTCTTTCACGTTCTTTAAAAAGGACACAAGAGACCCCCGAGATATTTTCACGTTGTTTATAGAAACACACAAGAGGTACTATAGATTCGTTTACCTTCTTGGAAAAAAAGACACAAGGGGTCCCCGAGATTCTTTCACATTTGTTATAGAAAAGACAAACCAGAGACCCATGAGATTTTTTCACCATCATGAAATTTGAATTTTTAGACGACTTTTTTAAAAGTGAAATTTTTGCAATGGCCCCCCCTTCTTCAAATTTCGGCCAATTTTTGACATTTTCGAAATTTTACTAAATACATTTTCTTGTCGATTTCAAACTCTGAAACTCATCTTCGGCCTCGTTTCTTTGATAAATGCAACCGTTTATCCACAATCGACGGTGGAAATATCGAAATTTTACAAAATTTCAAAAATTCACATTTCATGCCGATTTTTTCGAAAATGTTACTCCGTGATCATTAACATGCTATATTTTTAGAATCAGCATGTCGAGATCTACGTTCTTGAATTTTTTCAGAATTTTTAGACACCTTTTTTAAAGGTGAATTTTTTTTAATGGTCCCGGCTTCTTCAAATTTCGTCCAGTTTTTGACATTTTCGAAACTTTACTAAATACGTTTTCTTGTCGATTCCGAACTATAGAACTCATTTTCGGCCTTGTTTCGTAGAAAAGTATAACCGTTTTTCCAGAATCGACGGTCGAAATATCGAAATTTAAGAAAATTTCAAAAATTCGCATTTCATGCCGATTTTTTCGAAAATGTTACTCCGTGACTATTAACATGCTATATTTTTAGAATCAGCATGTCGAGATCTACGTTCCTGAATTTTTTCAGAATTTTTAGACGACTTTTTTGAAAGTGAAATTTTTCCCTTCTGCAAATTTTGGCAAATTTTTGACATTTTCGAAAGTTAACTAAATACATTTCCTTGTAGTTTTCGAACTCTAGAACTGAATTTCGGCCTCATATCTTTGATAACTGCAACCGTTTTTCCAGAATCGACCGTTGAAATATAGAAATTTTAGAAATTTTCAAAAATTCGCATTTTGTACCGATTATTTCGAAAATGTTACTTCGTGACCATCAACACTCTATATTTTTGGAATCAGCATGCCTAGATCTACGTCTCTGTTTTTTTCAGAATTTTTAGACACCTTTTTTAAAGGTGAAATTTTTCCAATGGTCTTCAAATTTCGGCCAATTTTTGACATTTTCGAAACTTAACTAAATACATTTTCTTGTAGAGTTCGAGCCCCAGAACTCACTTCGGGTCTGGTTTCTTTGATAACTCCAACCGTTTTTCTAGAATCGTCCGTTGAAATATCGCAATTTTTAGATATTTTCAAAAATTCGCATTTCATACCGATTCTTTCGATTTATTGTGAAATTTTAATGTGTATACAAATATGTTTCTATTATTTTCTTAAAAGTACAAAAATGTTCAAAGATGGAAATCCCCATCTTGGTATATTTTAATTTATGAGTTTCGAACTGAGCTGGGACCAGGGCTGCGATTTTGTTTCTCGATCGAAAAAAACTGGATAGCGATAAAATCTCGTTTGTTGATTGGTTGAGATGCTACATTTGTCACAATTCTTGATTCTGTCACGAAATCAAGTCTTCATGGAGTGATGTTTCTCGATAGCTTTGAGTAAAGTGATACATTTTGGAGACATAACCTCGAAATTTATGTCAAAATAGAAATTCAAAATCGTAATTCTGAGTTATAAGTTCTTAAAATTAAGGTAATTGTAAACTTTTGAGCATTTAATAAACTTATATGCAAAGAATAAATGCAAACTTTAGCATTTAAAAGCTACGCAATGACATTTGTCGCAGTGATAATTTATCACTTCGATCGAAAAACAAAATCGCACCCCAGGACAGAGTGGATGATCTAACCAGAACCTGCATTTCAATGACTTGCAGTATCTCCATAATCATTGAAGCACTCTTGCAGCGTCACCACCATGACTTCATGTTTTGCGCTGCATTTCCTGTCATTTCCAGGCTTTATTATTACACTGGAACGTGTAATCCCGCTGCTGAAGTTGGACGAATGTCTCATAAGAAATGAATTAAAATGGAAATTAACTCTGCCTCACACACTTATGAATTGTTGATGACCACGCTCGTAATTTGTCTGTTTTTATGAGGCGACAATAGTCGACCCTCGTCGAGGTTTGAAATGTGACTTACAAGGTCATGGAATACATTGTGTTCGCGTAAAGTGCGATGTAGTGCGTTGTGGAAACAATCCAGGTCAAATGAAAAACGGTTCGCCCCATTTTCTCTAAAATTGAGAATAAAATAATGTTGCGCCTGCCTATATTTTTTATAATAAATATACGAAAATAATATTGACAACCTTTTGCTAAAAAATCTTTCTCAACTTAACCCCATTTTTCTCTTTATAATTACACTGTGGGAACCAACATCGTTAAGAACGCGTGATCGATCGATTACGAACCGCGCAAAAATCGCTAAACTGTGCCGTTACCGTAATTAATGTCAATCTTTTTACTTTCAGATCCAGTAATCCGCACATCCACATTGCATCACCGTGAAATGTAATTTCCGCCGATCCTCAGCCGCTCACACGATGGACTCCAGCAGCAGTTCGAGCATCGAGAAGTGCAATTGCGACAAGTCCGAGCCGTCGCAGGAGAGCGACAGCAGCAACTCCGAGTGCTCGTCGCCGCCGAAGGACAAGAGAATCAAAATCAGCCTGACCTCGTTGGGCCTGAACCTGCGACGAGGCCGATCAAAACGCAACAAGAAGTCGAATCAAAACGCTCCGTCCACGTCCGGCGCCGGCTCGAGCAAGGAGATCACGAAGAAGTCGCCGAAATGGGGCATCAAGTTCAACTGCGCCAAGAAGGAGCCGAAGGTGGCCTTCGTCGAGGAGAACACGTGCTGCAAGTGCACGTGTTACAAGAGGACGGAGGAGCACGAGGCCGGCCCCGGGACGGTCTTCACGGCCGAGGAGAAAATCAACGATGTTCCTACGGAGAGCCCGAACGAGGGGGAGTTCAGCGAGAGCAGGGAGGTGGAGAACCAGGTTAACGAGAGCGAAGAGGGGGAGGGGGTTCGCGGGATCTACGGGATTTCGAGGAACTCGAGCTGTTTGTGTATTGGTCCATGGGACATGCATTGGTGAGTAGTGTAGTTCGTTTCTTATTATTATTATTATTTTATCAGAAGAAAGTGTACAAATTTAAAGATTCAACGTTCATGCTTCATTAACTATTTTTAATTTGTTTTGTTTATAAGTTTATCTTAAATTAATAACAAAATCAAAATTGTTTTTCAACGTATAGCGGGTTAAAGTTTACAAAAATACCGGACGTGTTACGATTTGATTACATAAAAATTACTTAATATAATATCTATTGATGTAATATTAGTAAATGCTGCTTGCGGCGTCCGTACATACCAAGGTATTATCTGTTCACGATCTTTATATAGTAGGATTGGCTATGAAACTCTAGTGAGTTTGTTGGTATTCGATACAAAAGAATAAAAATTCTCTGAACTTTTCGTTAGGTTATGTTTTATTAAATTCAAGGTTAAAAAATATGCCAGAAATATAAACATTGTTGCCGATACTTTCAGTTTTCAGTAGCAATGACCAAGTTAACGGTAACCATTTCTTAGAAAGCATAAAACTTTACGCCATTTAAAACAGTTATTCGGCTTTTTGTAAGTGTTTATTTCATATGTAAGGAACAAACACTAAAATTTCACTTAAACATTGTTTTTATATGAATGGGGGTTCTACATACGACTATTGTCGCATGCCACATTTAGCATCTCATCTTTAATTCTCAATCATCAGTTCGTTCTGCTCGCCCACTCTTCTTAGAAATGGAAATTTCGACCTTTCTGAACAGCCTATTTCCATATCTTCCAACTTCTTTTTTCACTTTTCTAAGTTTACTACAACTACGGTTGGTAAAAGACAACACCCTTGCTCTAGTGCTTTGATGGGTTTAGCTCTTATGAAACATTTTTCCGGCCTTAAATTGAATGATTTATCTATATAGCTATTACTAATGCTTACGTAAGTGCTCTTTATTTGCTTTTACTAAGTACTTTCAAACGCTTATTAATAAGAACGTTACTATACGCCTTCTCCAGGTCCATGAAGAGTTACAAAAAAAATTGAAAATGCTTAAAATTTGGTGCAAAGTAACGTCGATGATCTAACTAAAATTATACTTATTTTGTTGTACGTCAGGTAGTTTTTCACATACCACCTTGGTAAATTTAGAACGTAAGATGCGTAAAAATATCACCCCCGGCAAGCTACAATTCACTCCATTTCCATTATTTCGCTATGAAAATCTGTATCATCACCGTCATTTTCAAATTCAGATTCTGAATCAGATTCACCTAGCGAAATAATGAAAGGAGGTATAAATTCGCACGAAAGATTTTCCATATTTTTTTCCCAATCTGCCAAAATAAGTTTCTCACAATGTTTACAAAAATTTTGCCACATGCTTGGAGTACATTTAGAAAGCGCCTCAGGCCATAAATTCTCCACCTTATTTTTTAATGAAGGTTGAGAATTTATATGCTTGATGTAATAGTTCTTACAAAATCCCCACGCCATTTCAATTGGATTATATTGACAATGGTACGGAGGTAATCTAAGAACTTCATGGCCACTTTCTCTTAACGTCTCGTCTACCAAACATCTTTTTTTTCGATTGTTTCCGAAGGGTTTAATTAAATCCCACAACTGTTTCTTCGAATTTTTTTTGTCAAATTCAACACTATATTTAAAGAGCCATTCCTGCCTTTCACATTTTTTACTAGAAAAAGTGGGTGGTTTCTCCAACTGAACCGAATGATACGGTGCATTGGCTAAAACCACCACACATTTTTGGTTCAACTTTGCCAAAGCAGGAATAGTCAAAATTTTCATAAGATCAACTGAAAAATTGAGCTTTTCGAAAAGTTGTCTAAAAATTCACAAAAAGTTTTCAGATATGAAAAAGTCAAAATTTTCTTAAAGGGGGAATATTGAAAAATGGGACTTTTGTAAAAGTTGTCTAAAAGTAAATAAAAAAATTCGGAGGTATAGTACTGATTCCAAAAATACAGTGTGTTGATGATCAAGGATCAAGATTTCAGAAATGTTTGGTTTGAAATTGACTCAATTGTTGTGAAAAGACGACTACGTATATTAACAAAAACAACGCCAAAATATAAACCCCGCCCACCCACCCTATCTCAATTGTGAAGATCTTTTTCTATTCGTCGTGAGTCAGGGGGCGGACCTTAATTAGAAAATGTTTATTTCTCTACAAGAAATTACTATGTGAAAAAAGTTCTTAAGTCATTGTGTTGTTCAAAGTGAAGGTAAGCAGAGAAAAATGTTGTGTCTCGGTGGGAGTCGAACCCACGTCTCTATGCTTTCCGGGCAAGTATCTTAACCACTGGACCGCGAGGCCACTTATCTTTCTCTGCTTACCGACGTGTTATTGTGCCGCCACAAAAGAAAACTATACGTATTATGTAAAAATGAGTGCAGAAGATTAAGTCCCACCTATAACGGCACCGATTTCAATTGTAAAAAATTGTTGATTTTTCATTCGTTGTCAGACTTCTAGGGGCGAAGCATAATTGCAAAATCCACAAAAGTGTACCATTTTAAACATGTTTCGAGTTTTTTGTTGTGAAAAGACGACTACGTATATTAAGAAAAACGGCGGCAAAATATAAACCCCGCCCACCCACCCTATCTCGATTGTGATGATTTTTCTCTATTCGTCATGAGTCAAGAGGCGGACCGACCTTAATTGCAAAATCCTTATTTCTCTACAAAAAATTACTATGCGAGACAAGTTCTCAAGTCATTGTGTTATTGAAAGAAACTATATGTATTATATAAAAAAGAATGCCAAAGATTAAGTTTCACCTATATCCGTACCGATTTCAATTGTGATAAATTTTTCATTCGTGGTCAGACCTCTAGGGGCGGAGCATAATTGCAAAATCAATATTTCACCACAAAAATGTACCATATTAAACATGTTTTAGGTTTCTTGTTGTGAAAAGAAGACTGCGTATATTAAGAAAACCAGAGGCAAAATATAAGCCCCGCCCACCCATCCTACCGCAATTGTGATGATTTTTTTCTATTCGTCGTGAGTCAGGGGGCGGACCTTAATTGTAAAATCCTTATTTCTCTACAAGAAATCGCTATGAGAAACAAGTTCTTAAGTAATTCTGATGTTCAAAGAAAACTATATATATTATGTAAACAAAGAATGCCAAAGATTAAGGTCCACCTATATCCCCACCGATTTCAATTGTGATAAATTTTTCATTCGTTGTCAGACCTCTAGGGGCGGAGCATAATTGCAAAATCCGTATTTCACTACAAAAATGTACCATTTTAAACATGTTTTGAGTTTCTTATTGTGAAAAGACGACTACGTATATTAAAAAAAATGTATATATATATAAAATTAACCACCCAATTTTGAAAAATTGTCCCGTCCATCGTTTTATGATCGTCTCTATCGTTATTTTTTGAATTTAAAAAATTGTTACAACCATCCAAGAACCCCATTGAACAACCCGCGTGGAGAATAGTAAACCTTGATGCTTCACTTGTAATTTTGGTGCACCCAGCGACGAATGGACGAACCATTTTGATAGATACATGTTTTATCCAATTTTTCACAAGAATTTAGAAACTGTAAATATGTTCTCAAAAAAGTAATTTTGGCTGCAACGACATGTTTTTGTTCATATAGAATTTTGCGACCATTTACTTCCCTGTGTTTATAACCCATTGACTTGAGAATTTTGTATAATGTGATTCGCCCCCCTTTAAATTCCAACTGTTCCCTAGAGTATGCCAAAAGAGTATCTACAGTGAAATATTCGTTTTTTTCATTAAGTTGCCAAATTTGTCGTTGCAGGTCTTTCCGAAACATATAATTTGTAAATAAATCCGTTGGTTTTCGCTTGCCAGATGGTGATATTTTTAAATTTTGGTCCCCTGTTGATAAAATTTTCGCCACAGTTGATGTTCCCACCTATGAGAAAAAAAAAAAATATATTTTGCAGCGTATTTTTACATTACCAAAAATATGTTCGAGACCCTCATAGTTACTTCTTCGAAAGAAAGATCGGGCCTGTCTTTTCGAAACTGCAAAAAACATCTTTTTATTGCAATTTTGTGTTGCAGTAAAACTATTTTAGGCACAATGATGATGTGAATCTGTCACAATGACAAATTATCTATTCTGGCAAAATAATAAATGAAATAGAAAAGTAGCAAATGTCAATCAGAGTACTGACAGACAAAAAACTAAATCATGAAATCAGTTTATCCAACTTAAAGAAAAAATATCAAAGCCCACTTTACTATATAAAGATCGTAAATGGATAATAAACAATAAAGGCGAATTCATAAAGCACAATATAAACGTATGTTATTTTTTCAAGTATAAATTAATCTTTGTGCATTATTATTAATAAAACAAGCTGTTATTTTTCATTAATAAATAAACGTAAACAAAAACAAAACCAACAAGAGAAAAATCCATAAAAGCATAACCAACTAAACACTGAAGAGAAGATGTTAAAAATTTCTGCCTTGTGCATATAAGTAAGCTCGTAATGTTTCCAAATTTTGATCATTTTTTGTAAAAGTTAGTCATCAGTACTTGCTAAGATAAAACTGATTTTGACAAATGGCATATCTTCTAAGAAAGAGAGGGTGGGTGGGCGTAGCTAGTATCTGCTAAGATAAGACTGATTTTGGCAGATGAGATAATCTGTAAAAAAAGAGAGGGTGGGTGGGCGGGCCTGGTACCTGCTAAGATTTTAGGAAGAATTGCTGGTTGCACTTATGAGGCTTTATTCAAACTTGTCTGTCGTCTAGCGTTCCACCTAAGCATACAGGGGATGCAATCCCCACCATTTATTAGGGTAGAGTAGTACTCGTAGTAGTGTAGTAGTAGTAGTAGTCGTTAAGAAGCATAGTCAAGAAATACCAAACAATGCAGGCCTCTTTTGTTTTTGTTGCTAGTTGTCTTAGAAAAGCGGGCCTCGTATCCTCAACAAATGCCACAAACAGGTATTACCTACCCTTCATTTTAATTTCATTTTGCTGCGAACATTAGTTTTAA